ATGTGGAAAGATCTTCAGTCAGAGCAGTAGCCTGAATCGCCATCAGCGAACTCACACAGAGGAGAAACCTTATAAATGTATGGAATGTGGAAAGAGCTTCACTGACAATGGAACGTATACTCAACATCAACGAACTCACACAGGGGAGAAACCTTATAAATGTATGGAATGTGGAAAAAGCTTCAGTCACAGCAGTACCCTGAGCTCCCATCAACGAACTCACACTGGGGACAAACCATTTAAATGCATGGAATGTGGAAAGAGCTTCACTCAAAGCTCTCACCTTAGTTCCCATCAACGAACGCACACTGGGGAGAAACCATTTAAATGTATGGAATGTGAAAAAAACTTCAGTTACAGGGGATCATATACTAAACATCAAAGAACTCACACAGGGGAGAAAAGTTATAAATGCATAGAATGTGGAAGGAGCTTCTGTCACAGCAGTCACCTTAGTTCCCATCAACGAACTCACGCAGGGGAGCATCCTTATAAATGCATGGAATGTGGAAAGAGGTTCAGTCACAGCAGTAACCTGAATAGACATCACAGAACTCACACAGGGGAGAAACCATTTAAATGCATGGAATGTGGAAAGAGCTTCAGTCAGAGCTGTCACCTTAGTTCCCATCAACGAACTCACACTGGGGAGAAACCATTTAAATGTATGGAATGTGAAAAAAGCTTCAGTGACAGGGGATCATATACTAAACATCAAAGAACTCACACAGGGGAGAAACTGTATACAGTCGTGCCTCGCCTAACGAGGATAATGCGTTCCAGCGAAATAGCTGTAGAACGAAATCCTCGTTATGCAAAATAAAAAAGCCCATTGAAACGCATTGAAAATGCTTCAATGTGTTCCAATGGGCTGAAAAGTCACCGTCCTGTAAAGCGAAGAATCCGTCCCAAAACACAGCCTGGGGCCATTTTCTTCACCCGGTGGCCATTTTGAAACCTGACGATTGGCTGTTTGCTGATTGTCGTAAAGCAAAAATTGGTTCCCAAGGCTGGGAACTGATCATCAAGAGGCAGATTTTTCCCATTTTAAACCATCATTCTGCGATTGCTTTTGCGATCGC